CCCACTTTTGGGATATTAAATTATAAAATGAATAAGTGACTTTTGCGTGTTAAGCTAAGACTCAAATCTCTGGAGAGATTTATTGCATTTCAGTGTCTATGTACTCGGTCTAAGTTTGTTACCAAAGTGTAATTGTACTGTGTGTTGGCAGATTGCATGCAGATTGCTGGAAGGAGGCCTGTGTGTGTGGTTGTGTAGCAGACCAGTTTGCAGACAAACTGTTGGGTGATGGCAAGCTACCGTTTGTTGTGTGGGCAGTGGGAAGAGTGATTAACACAAGGGTTCTAGCTCATAGGATAACTGAAGGAATCCTAGAAGTGTATACTAATTACTAAACCGCTCCCCAGCCCTTAGAGTGCACCTGATTGTATGTAAGATTCATATCTGCCTGTGTGTAGCCAGTCAGCTGGATTGAAGTGGTGTCTCCCTCTAGTGGTGGCCAGAGGTAGTGCGGGCTGTCAAAGTTTATCACAGGCAGTCTTACTTGCTTAGAATAAGCTACCTCTCAGTCCCTCCTACTCCTAGTCAAGGATCTTGCCCTGATTAGCTAATCACTGTGGACGTGCATTCCATGACAGCATAGTTCACACCATTGCAGTGCAATGAAAAAAAAAATAACAGCAAGCTTCATTTTCACAACACAAGTAAATGCCTGTAAGCATAACACAGCACTGTGTACATAAAAACTCAAAGAAGAAAGAAAGTAGTGACCACAAAGGAAATGAAAGCCCCTAAAAACACTTAAAAAACTCACCACAAATACATGTAAACGCACATAAAGTGCACTTAACCTCCTTGGCGGTATTCCCGAGTGTAGCTCGGGGTAACATTTCAGTACCAAGAGCGGTAACCCCGAGCTACACTCGGGAATACCATGCGGCACTGCTCCGGCATTTGTTCTTCACTTATCTTACCCTGCGCTCCCACGATGTGTCCCCTGCAGCGTCCCCGGCCATCTCCTCCGGCTGATGCCGGCATCCGGCTTCTGTGTCCTGTCCCTGCGACGTCGGGACGTACGGGCGCCGCTGGCGGCGGGAAATTTAAAAATTTTAAAAAATGTCTTTTTTTTTCTTTTACACATTTTACATAGTAAAACATTGCTGTCTCAACCAATTTCACATACATTTTGTCCCTAGTGCTTTGTCCTGTGCCCTGCCTGCATTTTGTCTGTTCTTTCTGCCTGGAAACTGAGAAATGTCCATGGCGTCCAAAAAGTGTCCCTTTAGGTCAAAAGCAGTTTAGATCAGCTAGAGAACAGTGATAGTAAATTAGAACTACTTGCAGAATTGAGTGAAATGATTTGTGGGGAAAATCGTCATCACACACTGAAAACGATTTTGCGACTTTGCTCATCAATGTGTTAACTTGGCGCTATATTTCAAATTTCAGTGTTTTTGGTTTGATTATATTATTGAATTTAATGTATTATTATTATATTATTATTTTTTATGATTATTTATTAAATTATAATTTATGATTACGTGTTTCAAATTTTATCCTACCCGGGATGTTTACTGGACTCTTGTTCGGACAGATTTCAGTGAGTTATTCCTAAGAATTACAGGCCTAAAATAAAAAAAATACATATTTCCATGCAAAATAATGGTACCGCTTTCAGCACCAAAAATCGGAAAGAATCATACCGCTAGGGAGGTTAATGCAATCATCTACTCGCACATGGAAACACACGGTTTCTGGTCTGAATGGACCTTAGATCAGCCAAACACTTTCCAGGAGCATCAAAACAAAAGTATGGACATTTTTACAGTGTTCTTTTTTTTTTTTTTTTTTTTAGAAAACAGCCACAGGCTGAACAGAAAAGCCTGCCCCCTATCAGCATGATGCAGAGAAAGATCCTTGCTCCGTGTATGGAAGCAGTGCTCTCTCTGCAGAGGTCCAACACACCCTTGCTGATTCAGACTTCACCAATGAGACAACTCAGTGAGCTACCATGACTGCAAAGGTTTTATACAAAAGGGGGTATGTTAGATCTCTTCCATTGCTTCCACACAGGATGGGCAGGAAATTACAGACAGTACAAAAAATCTGACAGACGTTCTAACCCTTCTCCTTAGTGAAAAAACTATTTTTTATATGCAGTTTATGTCCCCACTTGAGTGATTTTGCATAATTTTCTGTGCTATCAAATGAGGACTAAGGGGTCAATTCACTAAAAGTTAAATAATGACATGAAAATTCTGGTAAAATAACTCATTTTTTTCAAACACAAATAATGCATGCGGTAAAGTCTGATAAGCAAAAATTTTAGCACACTATTATTCATTATTTTATTGTTTGTCCCTCTGTAGAGAGTAATTTCCAGTGGGTGGACCCAAGTGTTACCTCACTTCTGCTGGATCGTCAGAGTAGATGTAGAAACAGGTGCCACCAGAGGAGAAGTCCAATGTGCTGGACTTGTAGATGCAATGGTAAGATGCATGCAATCCACCAGCCACCACCATACAACCTTGATTAGGAACTAGATATGCAATGAGGAAAGCACCAAAAGCAGAATGTATTGCATTCAGATTTAATTTTATTCAAACTTTTATCATAAAAAGTCAATGTGTTTCTGGGGTTCAAAGGGTCTCCCTTCATTAGGGCAGCAAATAACATATGAAAGAGTGTGTTCAGGAATACATTATTGACTGGTGTGTAAACAGTATAGAATACCTCTTTTCTTGCTCAAATCCGCCATCATGGACACGGGATGCGTGCAGCCAATCAAGCTTGCTTGAGTAACTAATGTTTTTAGGAGAACTGGATCTCAAGTACAGTGTACTCAGGTCTGTGTTGTAATTTAAACCTAAGCAATAACATAATAAGGATATAAAATACAATATTAGCAAGTCAAAAAAAAAAAAAAACTATAAAATATTACTTTTTTAAAATTATAAAACATATAAGTAAACCAAAATTAAAAAGTAACAAGAACTAGTAAAAATAATTGAAAAAGTCATATATGTAAAGTCAATCATTTTGTTTTGTCATATTTGTTATGTTAGAATGATTTGTTTACAGAATTTGTTTCATATATTCATTGTTCCAAATTGATTTGTATCTTTAGAAGTTATTTTGGATGATTCAGATTTATTTGTTATTTTTCCAGTGCAACTCTGCATTGTGACCTGCTTGTGACTTGGCTGCCTTGCGACTTGCTTGCACTCTGATACGACTTGCTTGCAGCTTTAATGGGACTTGGATGCTTTGCAACTTGCTTGTGATTTGGGGTGACTTGCTTGTGATTTTGATGTTTTGTGACTTGGGCTTTGGCCAATCATAACAATACAGTGTGTGACATATATTAATGACGTACAAAACCCTCTGAAGTCACAAACAAATTAAACAAATGAGTATGAATGACTTTGTTTTCATTATAATTTATTTTAGATTAGTTAAAGTTTTACTAAACCCACAACAGTAAACTCAGTGTGTATATGCAGTAAAGCATGCTTGTTATGCACACTGTGGAACCTAAGGGGTTACTCCTCTGCATTGTGTAATAAGGCTGTTTGATCCTGACTTCTCTGATCCTCCCCTTCTTCCAGTGCCCACCTCTTATCTCCTGATAAGACATATCATGTGGAGTCACTTTGCACATGCTCACTTTGGTGTGTATTGCTAGAGAGGTTTTTTTATTTTTCTTGGGAGAGTGCATGTGATCAGCACAGGGCCAATCAGTACTGTCCAGACAGAGGTCAGGGGTTCTGCATCCTCTTAGAGCAGAATAAAAACTCCTCTTACAAGCTTTAACCAGTGCTCGACTGGACACTGATAAAAGCCACAAGACTGCTCTAGCTGCTGATGAGAAAAGGTATTTATCAGTTTATATTTACTAAAATAATTGCACTTCCATGTTGTGTGTACTGTGGGAGAGCAGATATAGTGAATGCAGGGTCCTGGGTTTAGTAACACTTTAACAAATATTTCTTCCAAATTTTGATTCGTAATGAAACTAATCTCACATGTCTAAATGAAACACATTTTTTTAAAATAATGGCCATATGATCATTTACCATATACTTGTAATTTAATAAATGATAGAAACAGAATACACATAGGTCTATGCTTATTAATTGTATATATTCTATTTTTTTTCCTTGTTGCCTCTTTTTTTACCTATCCATCATCATCATCCTCATACCTTAGTGTATCAGAAGTTCTGAGTTATAACCACTGCTATTCACTGAGTGTTTTCTATTCTTACTCATCACCTTCCACTGTAGGTGTGATGAACTAGGAGCACAGAGAGAGTATACAAAGGTAAATCACACGGGATCAGATGTGAAGAATGTTTAGGAAGGTATTTCGGTACAAAGGATTAATGTGCTGAGGATGGTGTTATGCTGAGGATGGAGGAATACAGAATAACAATCTAGTGCAGCCAGTGGGAATCAGTGGTATCACAGGACAGAAATCAGATGCAGCAAAAGGGGTAGGTCCAGTGGTAACAACTCAGGACACTATAAGAGTCAAGCACCAGTAATGTGGCGCAGCAAATAATAAAGTTTAGGATCACAGGGCAGCAATTTAACCACTTGCCCTCCAGAGGATTTAGCCCCCTTCCTGACCAGGCCATTTTTTTGCGACACGGCACTGCGTTATTTTAACTGACAATCGCATGGCCATGCAAAGCTGTATATAAATACAATTTATGTCCTTTTTTTCCCCCACAAATAGAGATTTCTGTTGGTGGTATTTGATCACCTGTGAATTTTTTTATTTTTTTTACGCTATAAACAAAAAAAGACCGACAATTTTGAAAAAAAAATTTTTTTTACTTTTTGCTATAAAACATATCCAGTAAAGAAATTTAATAAAATCAATTTTCTTCATAAATTTTGTCCAAAATGTATTCTGCTACATGTCTTTGCTAAAAAAAACTCAATACATGTAAATTAATTGGTTTACATGAAAGTTATAACGTTTACAAATGGCGGTATATATGCTGCAATTTTTATTTTTTATTTTATACTAGTAATGGTGGCGATCAGTGACTTATAGCGGGACTGCATGCATTCTGCCACTGGGGGGGAACTGACTAACTGCCACTGACATCCCAATGGCACTAATATAGTGATCAGTGCTAATAAAAAGCACTGACACTGTACTAATGACACTGGGCAGGAAGGGGTTAACATCTGGGGCAATCAAAGGGTTAACTGTGCGCTGTTTTACTGTGTGCTGTGTGTGTTTTACTAGGGAAACATACTACATGCTGTGCAGAGAAATACACAGCAGCATGTTACTGCTGGCAGGAGAGAGACCTGTGTTGTTTCCACACAGGTCTCTACCCTGTCAGTGATACTCGGCAATTGCCGGGTGCCGGCAGGGAATCTCCGCTTGGGACCCAGTGATTGACATCTGTAGCCACCAATGGCAGTGCGGGTAGGGCAGCGCACGTATATATACCTGATTTTGCGCAGCCCTGCCACCCTATAGCAGTAGTTCTGCTAGAGGGCGGTCGGGAAGCGGTTAACACAGCAAGGAATGAGTACAGGGAAGCTATATGGTACAGCAAAAAATAAAATCCAGGCACAGCAATGGATAAGCACCAAGATTACAGAACAGCAATGTGGCACAACACAAGGGTTAAATGACTCACACGCAGGGGCAGATTGACCATTTGGAAACTCGGGCACCGCCCGAGGGCCCGGGGTCCGTAGGGGGCCCCATGAGATGCCCCTGGTACCTTTTTCATAGGCTTTTTTGAGTTTGGGCAAGGACACAGGGGCCCCATGATCCCCTATTGCCCGGGGCCCCATGAGTTGTCAGTCTGCCCTTGCTCACACGGTAAATGTCCAACCATACTGCTCATCTGGCTTGGTTGGTTCTGCAAAGGGGGATCCAGTCAGGATGTTCAGTATGATGAGGGACCTGTTTGTAGAGTACATCTGGAGGGGCACCCTGGGTCCTAGGAGACTTAGAGGGAGGGGAAGAGGATAAGTGGCACTTTCACTTTTGAGTGAAGGTCTGCGTTAGGTGTCCTTTGGTAGTTTAAGGCTCAATGCACACTAGTTTTTTTTTAAGCTAAAAAAACATTGGATAAAAAATGCTGGTAATAGCGGTTTTTAGTAGCGTTATGTAGCGTTTAGAGGCATTAGCATTTTATTTAGCAGTTTTACAGTACATGTAGGGAAAAAAAAAGCTAGACAAAAAGCTGTTGGGAGAGTTTTAGTAGCATTTAGGAGCATTTAGCATTTTTTTCTGTTGAAAAACGTTCCCAAAAACTCTACAAAAACATTTTGTTCTGCTTCTAAGCGCTGAAGCTTGAAAAACGCTAGTAGCCTAAAACAGTGTGCATAGACACATGGGATAACACTATTAGCTTCTAGGAAAAAAATGCTGATAACATCTTCTAGGAGCTTAACCTACCTGGCGGTATTCCTGAGTGTAGCTTGGGGTAAAATGTCTATACCAAAAGTGGTAACCCCAAGCTACACTCGGGCTTACCATGCGGCGCTGCATAGGGATTCCCTGCAGCACTTACCTTGTCCTGCGCTCCCGCGATGTGTCCCCTGCAGCGTCCCCGGCCATCTCCTCCGGCCGATGCCGGCATCCGGCTTCTGTGTACCGGTCCCTGTGACGCCGGAACGTACGGGCGCCGCCGGCGGCGGGAAATTTGAAAATTTAAAAAAAAATGTCATTTTTTTGAAAATACATTTTTCATAGTAAAACATTGCTGTTTCAACCCATTTCACATACATATTGTCCCTAGTGCTTTGTCCTGTGCCCTGCCTGCTTTTTGTCTGTTCTTTCTGCCTGGAAACTGAGAAACGTCCATGGCGTCCAAAAAGCATCCCTTTAGGTCAAAAGCGGGTTTAGACCAGCTAGAGAACAGCGATAGTAAATCAGAACCACTTGCAGAATTGAGTGATAATGATTCGTGGGGAAACTCATCATCAGACACTGAAAACGATTTTGTGACTTTGCTCAGCAATGTGCGAACTTGGCGCTATATTTCAAATTTCAGTGTTTTTGGTTTGATTATATTATTGAATTAAATGTATTATTATTATATTATTATTTTTTATGATTATTTATTAAATTATAATTTATGATTTCGTGTTTCAAATTTTATCATACCCGGGATGTTTAATAGACTCTTGTTCGGACAGATTTCAGTGAGTTATTCCTAAAAATTACAGCCTACAATAAAAAAACTACATATTTCCATGCAAAAAAATGGTACCGCTTTCAGCACCAAAAATCTGAAATAATCATACCGCTAGGGAGGTTAAATAAATGCTAGTGTGTATGGAGCCTTAGGTGTGCAATAGGCTTAAACAGATCTTGGGGGTATATATATATATATATATATATATATATATATACAGTATATATTTGCTAAAACATATTTTGCCCAAGCGAGTTCCCACTTTGGCAAACTGAAACCACTCCACTCATCCTTACTCCCCAATATATGAGTAGGAGCATTTACTGATAATAATCACAGGCAGTGTTTTGTTTCATGCACTTTCATATTATCATCCTAACTACATTAGAAGTGTATTGATGTTTTTAACTACAGCAGACATCACATTTTTGCTAATTAATCAAAAGTGCTAAGAGTCACTTATTTTTATTAGAGCTCCTTCTTACCTCCAGCTGACTTGGCCCTTGTCACAGACAAGCAAGAAGAGGTGTGGTTAGGGTCAGTAATAGGGTCTGCTAACTATCCGAGAGTCACAGCAGCAAAAGATTTTTGGAAATATGGCAGGAATATAATTCACAGAAACTTTGTTTTTGTTTTTTTTTCTCTCTATGCTTCAATAAATCTAAGTTCTGAAAACAACTGATTTTCAACAAATCAGCCTCAACTTATATTTTTTATTAAATCTGATTTTTTTGACTGACAAAAGGGTAAAACCGTTTGTTCAATGAAAAGTCAGACTACACTAACAAATATATTCTACAGATGGCATTCAATCAAAAATGTAATTGACAACATGTGGTTTTACTAATAAATAAATAAATATATGGTAATTAAATAACACATTTCCAATTCCTGTTGTTGGAACTATGATGTGTTGTATGGTTTATGCTGTGTTTTTCTGATGCTTTACCAAAGTTCTTCCAACACAAAATACAGCATTTCATTTTAGAAATATTAGGTTGCACTTAAAAAATGTGTTTTGCTGAGTTATAATCAAAGATATAATAACCAATGCAGGCTTGTCTTTTAGTAAATTATATAAAAAAGTACTGTACTGATGAAGCAGGTATACAGTAGTCTTAACCAGTGATGACTGAGCTGGTTTGGGTTTGGTTTGCTGGATTTTCCCCAAATCCAGCCTGTAATCCATGATCCCCAAACATAGCTATCAAACCCCATTGAAGACTAAGAGGAATTAATAATATTGTTTTTTTCTGGTCTTTTGTATGGCCAATTTTCAAGCTTTTGGAAAAAAAGGCAGAGGTAGCTGGGTACTGCCATCGGGGGACATGTACAAATAGAAAAAAATCTTTAACAATATATTGTTGGGGGGAGACTTTTTAACCACTAGGGGACCGCCCACAGTACATATTGTTGGATTTTAGACACATATAATACTCCTTCTAGTGTCTTGAGGCGATTATGAATGAAAGAGCCATTGAAATAAAAAAATGAAGTGTGATTTTATTCTATCACACAATGGTGTAAAATAACAATGTAAAGCGTATTATGAACAGTTCCATGTAGATAAAACTACTGTAGAAATAACAAGCAAAAGTTTAAAGTCACCATTATCTGTCATAGAAGTCCGGCCATGTGCTGTTCTGTCTTTCATGTTCTCCTTGTCCTTCTCATGTCTTTTTGGGAAGAAGCCGGAAATAGACGAAAGTGATGATCTCGTAGCATGCACCTGTTGCAGCTTCTCAGACGTGTATGTATGTGTATGCAAGAGTGTCGTGTTAGCGTGAGTGTCCCTCTTGTCCGTTGTCTCATGGTCTTTTATGAGGCAAATTTACGTCATAGTTAGTGATCTTAATACCTTCTATGGAAATTATTACTGCTTAGCAAAGCCATTTCATAAAAGGAAGGGGATGCTATACATATGATGTTTTTGATGGACAGGAACATATGTATGCTGATGTACATAATATTGTAAGCAGATGATGTAACCTTCAGCTATATATTTAAAGAATAATATAGCTTAAGAACATATCAATGTATAATCACTAAACTATATATGTATCAATGTTAGAAACGTATACTAAATACACACAGATACTATTAAAATACATAATGTAATAGTAAATCTATAATGAGTCCTCCTAATACCCTTGACATTACTACCAGATACTTTTAACCAGCTATGCCTAAATATAGTCTTCAGCTAGTTAGCTGTCTCAGCTAACTTACCCATATTTTACTGTCTTAGCTTAATTTATATATCTTTTGGTCTCAGTTATATTACTGAAGAATTAAATAATATCATCGGTATAAGGCGACAATTCACACATATTAATATTAATTATGATTAATCATAAAAACCAAATATTTTGCAAGCTTGCCATCAATATAAGTGCCGAATCATAATTTTGATTTCTTAACACATATACTGTGGTAAAGCAGCCCCTGTAGGCAGGCTCACGTATATAAACGTGATCCTTGTTTACATGCTAGGGGACAAACACTGACACAGACAGGGGGCGGACTGACAACTCATGGGGCCCCCGGGCAATAGGGGATCATGGGGTCCTTGTGTCCTTGCCCAAACTCAAAAAAGCCTATGAAAAAGGTACCAGGGGCATCTCATGGGGCCCCCCTACTGACCCCGGCCCTCAGGCAGTGCCCGAGTTTCCAAATGGTCAGTCCGCCCCTGGACACAGAGCACACTGCTCCCTGTCAGTTCCAAGCTCACTGTTCCAGAGAGGAGAGCTTAGCTTTCTGGGACAGCATGCAACAGTGAAGTACACACCCCCCGCCCACTAGTAAAACACTCCCCTCACACAGTTAACCCTTTGATTGCCTTAAAAAGTTAACCCCTTCCTCCCCAGTGCCATTATTACAGTGTCAGTGGTTTTTTTTGCACTGATCACTGTATTGGTGTCACTGGGGATGTCAGTGACCTCAAGTCAGTTCCCCCCCCAGTGTCAGAATGTCCACCGCAGTACTGCAATTCTGCCATAAGTCATTGGTCGCCGCCATAAGTCACTGATTGCTGCCATAAGTTGCTGATTGCCGCTATTATTAGTATACAAAAAATCCAGTATCTATACCACCGTTTGTAAACGCTATAACTTTCATGTATACCAATTAATTTACACGTTTTGGGATTTTATTTAGCAAAGACATGTTGCAAAATACATTTTGGCTGAAATTTATGCCAAAATTAGATTTTTACATTTTTTTACTGGACAAAAAGTCCAAAATATTGTTTTTTTTTTCTCAAAATTGTCATTTTTTTATAGCTCAAAAAATAAGAAATGCACAGGCAATCAAATGCCACCATAAGAAAGCCCAATTCATGGGTAAAAAAAGATGTAAATTTCATGTTTGTGCAGCAATGCATGACCGCGCAATTGTCAGTTAAAATGATGCAGCACCATAACACAAATCGCTTATGTAACCTCTTCCTGGCCGCCCTATAGCAGGAATACTGCTACAGGGTGGCACAGGTGTGCAAAATCACATATATATATATATATATATATATATATATATATATATATATACATGATTTGCGCTCCTGTGGTTTTCACGCCCCTCCCAGATGGCGTCAGATTGCCCATCAGTACACCAGTAATCACATTTAACTCCTCGATTGCCAGGAAGACGCTCATACACAATAAACCTCCATTGCTAGTATAGTGTCTGAATGGATCAATATGTTTGATCAGATCAGCACTATACCAGCATTTACATTAGTATAGTGTCCCCAAAAATGCAGCGTTAGCGGGATCAGCCCTGGCACCTGCCAGCACCTGTGTTTAGCCCCTATGCTTACCCCACTCCTTCTCCCCCAGCAAGTGCAGTGTCAGTAGGTCACTGTCACTTGATACATTGCACACAAAACCGCAGTGTTGGCAGAATCAGGCCTGATCTCTGTTAGCACTTGCCGGTAAATTTTGATGACTCTCATATGCAGCAGAGTTCCAGTACTAGTGCCACGCTACCTTTTAGTGAACTGTGGAGTACTAGTGGCCTAGTACTTTATGGTCTTTCACATACCTCTTGGATTGTAAGCTCCCAGGACCAGGCCCTCCTAACCCTCTTGTATTGAACTGCATTGTTGCTGTATTGTCTCCCATTATATTGTACAGCGCTGAGCAAACTGTTGATGCTATATAAATCCTTTATAATAATAATAATACCAGCACTGCAGTATGACTTGGTGACGTGGCGAGTCCTATAAGTGCAGTATAAGCTGGTGCAGTGGCGAGCACAAGTATTGTCCTGCAACCACCAAGAATTCGCACACAGGCCCGTAGAGCCCCTAGTATCCCAATTGGCAGCCCACAAATTCTGCAGCACCCGTACTTCCCCCATTCACTGCCCAACCCAGAATTCAGGTGGAAATAGCAAATTTAACTACTCCCCTTGCTTTTTTGGAGCTGTTTTTCACAGAAGATCTGTATGCAATGATTGTGGATCAAAGCAATTTATATGCACAACAGTTTATCGCCGCCATCCCAGATTCAAACCTTGCCAGACCATTTGCATGGAAACCCATTACGGTTTCTGAATTTACATTTTTTTTGGACCTAACCCCCAACATGGGCATTACTAAAAAAAATGAATTGCGGTTGTATTGATCCACAGACCCGATTCATC